TCGCTGCGCAGGGATGCAGTTGGGCGACAAGCAGCGGCCCTGCATCAACCTTCCGACAACCACCAGGCACCCCATCAGCAGGCGCACTACCACCCCCCGCCCCACCACCTTGGATGCCTAATGGATTTTCCATACCCTTAATTTGTGTACAATAAACATTTGAGACTTTAACCTGGAGACCAGCTGCTGCGGTATCGATGCTTCCTACATGACTTCGAAGCCGAGCTCGGAACAAAGTGACGCTCGGAGTGAGTGATATAAAGAGCATTAGACAAGATCCCTGCAAGATCCTTTGGCTATAGCTTCGGAGTTAAGGGACTCGGCGTCTCATGTCGATTGTTGCCAGGCATGTCTGGAGACATTTGTCTCGATGCCGTATTTCTATTTGTGTCGAGTTCCAGGTATCATTAACTGTACAATGTCCCCGCATCGACTGCCAGGCTATGGAAAGCTAAATCCCCACTAATGACCGTCGCTGACTTATTTTGTTTTGCATTGCCCCAGACAACGCAGGGCCAGCAGATGGGATGGGATGGGATGGGATGGGACGGAGCTAGCAAACGAAATAACAACTCAAATTACAATTGTGTGGCGGAGGGAGGGAGGGAGCCAGTCGATGGGAGTTCATTTTTATTTGGCAGAGTTCCGGGAATCCTGGAAAGCGGACCCAGCACTAATTAATTGATAGATGGCAGGGCAAATTGAGTGAAATTGCATATTCAGAGGAGCAGCGGAGAGGAGTGGAAAGGCATCAGGCTGGAGACGCGATTGTTGTGCACTCATGAGACAGCATGTGGGAAGTTATTGAATTACACACACTACACATACTCGTAGGCACGGTGTCCGGGCAACAGGCCAAAGTTTTGCAAATTACTTGCAACATCTCCGCAACACTGGAAACAACAATCATCATCAACGCGAACTTGTCGCGCACTGTGGCAGGAAGGATGTGGCTGCGGCTGCGGCTGCGGCTGCGATTGTGGCAGGGGTTTCTGGTTGCTGGCTGCTGGCTCGAATAACTTTCCCTGAAGCTTGTACAAGTCACCAGCTAAGTGCCGAAACTTCTTGTTGCTGTTCTTGTTTGCCCCGGAGGTTGTGCTGCCATTGCCATGGCTGCTTTAATTAAAACCCTCCGGTCTCTTAATCAAACCAAATGCGAATCAAACGAATCCAGTTGCGGTCGAGCCTCTGTGTTTACCTAACAGGTGGGAGGTACACACATCCACATGTAGGTGTGTCTGTACGTCTTCATAAAGCAGCTTTTCCATTGTGGTTCTGAACATCTTCAGCGTTCAGGAAATGTGTCAAAACGGTTCGAATTATCCACGCTATTGTGGCGCTGTGTAGCCTGTTAAGTGCCGAGAGAATGTTTCATTTGTATTCAAATTGTGTTGGATCTGCTCCTATTGCTCCACTCTTACTCTTAGGAAAATCTCCTCGCCTTAGTCACATATTTGTTTATTTCTTTCCTTCGCTTTCCTTTATATTTGTTGTAATTTATGCTTCCACTCTTCCATTTGTTCAGCTTTGCCCTCCAATCTGGCAATCATCTCCAACTGTTGAACACTTGGCCGACACCGTTTGTCATTGCGTTCCAGCATAATGAATGCGAATGAAGGCGAAATGTTGAGGCTACCACGCCCACATTCCAACATGTGCTCAGCTAATTTTGGACAGCAGCAGCGCAGCAGTTATTAAAGCTAATTGCGTTGATTCATAAATTAGGAACACCTTTGGGTTGTGTGTGTGTCCATTCCTGGGTTGCGTGCGGTGTGCCATGTAGGGGACAGCCACAGTTACATCTAGGGGCAGTCCAGGCTAATGGCCGACCACAGGCTGCTCGGAGTGGGTGTGGGAGTCCCGTACCCCCGTGGTGTGGTGTGCGCACCACCCTCGAGCTCCATGCATGTGAATGGAGTCCTTAATTTATGAACCAAACACAAATCCCACATCGGATCGAAAGTACGGCTCATAATTTGGCACTTGGAAACCAAACTGTGGCTAGGAGAGGTGTCAGTGCGGTGTAATCTGCAGAGTCACGCGGCCACAAAACTCGATTGTCATGCCTTGGACCGTTCCCGAATGATGACCATGACTGCACTTTTTCCTCCAATCTCCAATCATTAACAATAATAGCGGAAAATTGATTCGAGCCTAGAACCAAACGGGTACACAAGTGTTCTATTGAAATGTAATCCAAATGGGTTGCTAGGAGGTTCAATTAGGTTTGAATTTTACGAAACACAAAGAGTGGGGACAGGCACGGAGATCCCTCTCATCAGTCTGCATACTTTTGTTTGTGACAAAATTACAAAATGAGCGAGCCATAAACCATAAACCATAAACCATAAACCATAAACTAAAACGGAATGCCTGAAACGACGGCCAAATGGCACATTTCTTTCGCAATTAAACATCAAAACAGGCCCGACAGACCGCAAAAATGTTCAGACAAACCGCTGACAAATGAACGTAGGAGCAGCAGCAGTAAGAACCACAATAGTAACAGGTCGCATTTATTTAAATTAAAAAGAGGAACAATTTCGGAATGGGAGGCATGTTCCTTTGGTCTCGCCGCCCCAGCAAGAGGGCAACATAAAAAATAAACAGAAATACGGAAAAAATACAGAGATCTTGTTCCCAGTCTCGGAACTTCAAATAGCTTTCAAATTATTTTAAATGTTGCTCGTATATGTCCTTTGGTTGCGGATTTGCCCTTTACTCTCACAGAAACATTTAACATATTTTAGCATAATTTGTTTGCATTACGTAGTTCCAGCTTCGCAGCTTCGCAGCTTCGCAGCTATGCGGTTTGTATTTATAGCAAATTAGGTTCAGCCAACAGGAATGGCGACAATTAATTGTAAATCAACAGACAATCAGCGGACCGCAGGGCAGATGTGGTTTCCCCGAGCTTCTGCAGGGCAGGACTCGGAAACTCTCAAATGTTTAGATTTAATAATGAGAGCAGGCTCTCAGCTGCAAGGACACTGTTTAAAGCACATAGAAGGACCTGAAGTACATACTTATAGGGCAAAGAGGATAGCTCAGGTCTTCAGGCATTTGACACTCCTTCTCCTATATTCAGTGACTACATTTGAGTCCACTTTGGAACTTATTCATTGCACTCGGATTCAGAGTCAGCGTCAGAGTCAAGAGCTAATTAGCTGGACGGTCTCCAGACAGATGGCCATTTTCATTGTTTATGTGCGAATGTAAATTTAATTAGAAAAGGCTGCAAAAATCCAACTGAAATACCTAAATGCCTTTGGTTACCAGAATACAAAACACATAAAGGATATATGCATGCATGTGTACATCTGCCGATACTTGGGTCTTATGAGGGGGCTTAGCAAAGACCCAAACACATGCCAGTGCGCACGGATTCACACGGGTGGAGGACAGAGGGAAGGGAGGGCAAGAGATATAGACAGGCATAAGCCACACACAGTATTAAATTGGCATTAGGTCGGGGCCAGGCAGTGGACCAGTGGACCAGTGGACCAGTGGACCAGTGGAGCAGTGGACCAACAGCCTGACTGGGCTTCGCCCCCAATCGGATTGAAGTTGCTCCTTGGCCTGGCCCCTGGACCAGTGAACAGCTGGTAGGAAGGGGACTCCAGTGAATGATTCGTGGTTGATGTGGACCCGGGACTGGGGGGTATACCATAACATGCCACATTGTCGCTTTGACTTTTATTTATTTTGTTAGACGCATTTTGAAAAGCCAATAAGCAGCTCTCTGATTGATTATCTGTTGCCCTCTCATTGTCTACTCCACAGTCTCCACTCTCCTCCCATCGCCTCTACTCATCACTCCTGATGCTCGCCTGTGTGTGCGTGTCTGCTCATGTGTGTGTTTGGAGGGCGTCAATCAATTTTGAGTGAAATAAATGAGGCTTGCACAGTCTTTTCCTTCCCTTCCCTTCCGCTTTCCCACAGCCTTTTAGTTCACCCGAAAAGGGCTTAAAATTGTAAATTCCTTGGTGTTGTTTCTCCCACATTTTACACTCCTACATTTGACCCTCCCTCATTTGCTCCAGCAGGCATTATAAATTGCTGCCACATCATCCAAGCCAAGGCCAAGGAATCCTGGCATTCCGCCTACCGGCTCCATAGCCCGCAAATCTGTATCTGATCTGTGAGCCACTATTTCCACACACATACGGGCCGACCGTTTCTCGTTTTCTGCTCCCCGACTTCGATGAAAACTTTCATGTCTTCAAGAGTAGCAATGCCCTTTAATTAATACAAATTATTACCAAGATTTTACTTGAGATTATTTGAATTATTGACTGTATTGACTGCTGAAGCCCCCCACCAGTTCGCTTCTAGCTCTCTTCTGCTGGCATGCGGAGAAACTGCAACACTTTTGGCAAAATGCATTAAATATAAATGAGAAAGTGTCGCAGCTTTCCATTTCCCGCATTCCGAGCACAGCCGCTCGGTCAGCGCCAGTCGGCTCTGGCGATTTTCAGCACTTTTCCTGAGAGTCAAAGCGTTCCACTACTCCTCCAAAAGTGTTTTCCCTCCACTTTGCAGATGCACACTTCTTCAGCTAACTTTGCTCAAGCAAAATACCGAAAAAAACGTGACAAATCCAACACGTTTTTGTACATAAGGTTGCAAGTTTTGGAACTGCTTCGGGGGCAAATGGGAGGGAGGGCATCAACTGGAGTACTTGTGCGTCAACTGACGTGTCAAGTGCTGTGATATCATTGCCAGATTTGTAGAATCAGCGTAACATATGCATAATCCGGCTGATCAGTTCTGTGCCAAATAAAAGCCCCATTGCAGCTGGAAAGTTATCAGATGCCTCTGGCGGCCGGAGATGAGCACTCGGTCGATCAGTGATCTTGATTTCGCCAGGCGGAGACTGCTCTCCGAGCGGGGCGGGCTTCCCCGCTGCGAGCCGCAGACCCAGCCAGCACGTATGATCTGGAGATAACCCCCAAACATAACCTCGCCGTGAAGCAGCTCTGGAAAGTGTCGCGCAAACAATCGACTCAGTTCGACAGTCGACGAGTCTCGGGGAAGATGCGTGCGATCGAGTGGCTGCTGCTGATGCCAATCCTCTCTGGCCCGTGGCCGTGCCTGTGCCGGGACCAGCTGCCGAATTCCTTGAGGCGCCACATGAACCGTTCGGCGAACCCCTGCACAGATTTCTATGAGTATGCCTGCGGAAACTGGGTGCGGACGCACCAGGATCGACCCTACAGCAGCTTGATCGGCAAGCTGGACCATGTGTATCACGGGAGGCTGGCCAAGCTGCTGGAACAGGCGACGACCCCAGGCGCCCCCGAGGAGCACCGCTTCGTGCGAATGCTGCGGCACTATTACACCGCCTGCCGGTCTCCACTCGGGGCGACGCCCTCGGCGGAGTTTATGCTGCGGTTGTGCCGGATGGTCGAAGTGGATGGCAACAGTCTGTCCGTGGCCCTGACGACCCTCTTCCAGGCTGACGTTCTTCTAGAGATCAACGAGAGCGACCTGCCCGCAGTTTGGGCGAGCCTCATCCTACGCCCCTCGGCCGAGGGCGACCGAAACGCGTCCTTGTACCAGCCCCTGAGCCGCGAGGAGTTCGACCAGCTCTGGCGCATTCTACCCGCCCCCGGGGAGAGCCCCGACGAGGTGTGGCAAAAGGTAAGGCACCTGGAGGAGGTGATCACCGCCAAGATCAAGCCCGAGGAGGCTGCGCGCTGGGCAACGAACCCCAAGGATACGGGCGCCCAGGTGCTGTTCCCGGTGCCGGCCTACTGGATGCTGCCGTGGCCCACCTACGAGACGGGCATTCTTTACGTGACGCATCTGTCGCACCACCTGGCCAGCCAGCCGCCGCGCTTCCTCCTCCACTACCTGCTCCTGCGCTCGCTGCGCCGCGATGCCGAGCGGCCGCCCTGGAGCTTTACCCGGCTGGAGTGTGCCGCCCAGGCCCGATTGTTCATCACCCATGCGGCCGTCTGGCTGGTGGAGCAGCACCATCCCCACCTGCAGGCCAATGGCACGCTACAGATGCTATTCGGGGAGCTGAAGCAGCAGTTTGGACTGAGGGTGCGGGCCAATCGCAACAAGTTCTCGGCGGCCACACAGCGCTTTCTCCTCGAGAAGCTGGAGAGGATGAGCCTGCGGCTGAGCATCCTGCCCAGCCCGGGGGTCGTGGAGTCCGTGGAGCAGCGTCTGGAGCAGCACTACCGGAAGCTGCGGATCAACGCCTCCGACTACTTTGGCAACCTGCTGGCCGTAATGGAGCACTCGAGGCGCCAGGAGGAAAGGGCGGACTCCAAGTACGACCTGCAGCCGGTCAAGGTGTACGGCTACGGCACCTATGCCTCGCCCTTCTTTATGCCCAGGGCGAACGCGCTGCTCGTGCCACTCTCCCTGCTGGAGGCGCCCCTCTTCCGACCCGACCAGCGCCAGGTGCTCACCTACAGCTCGCTGGGCTTCATCCTGGGGCACGAGCTCTCGCACGGCTTTGCGCCCGTCGATGTGCACTTCGATGCGCTCGGTCGGCCCAACAGGTCCAAGAGTAAGTCCATGCTCACGAGTCGACGCTACCTGTCCCAGGCACTCTGCCTTCAACGCCGTCACGGCTCCTTCTTCGCCGACGAGAAGTTTGCCGATCTGAATGGCCTCGATCTGGCCTACGGTGCGTACTTCGAGGCGGGCGCGGGCGCTGTCGCGGGCGAGCCTGGCAGGGGCACACCGGCCCAGAAGCAGCTCTTCTTTTTCAACTTTGCACAATTCTTCTGCTCGGACGACAAGAACCTGGAGGACAGCGAGGAGCACGGCAGCGATAGGTTGCGCGTCAACGATGCCATGGCCAGCTTCGATCCCTTCCGCCAGGCCTATGGCTGCCAGTCGGTGCGAAGTGGCACAAGGTCACGCTGCCAGTTGTATTAGCCAACCCGAAGCGTGGGGAGGCGATCTATGACCCACTGAATATTTAGTTGATGCAGCAAAGCTGTAGCTGTCCAGATCACCAGATCATTCATAGATGAGCTCCAGATTGTCTGGCTTTCGGTTTCGATTGCCCAACATTTCCCCCCCAAGAGCGTGAGCGGTGGACAGTTGTGCGGAGTTTGTGTCACATTTAAATCGTTTATTTATTCAATATTGGATGCACCATCAAAATAAATACATTATGTATATGTACATTTGTGTTAGCAAACAAAAAAGGAACACAACGAATCCGAGAACTGTTCTCAGAGTAATCAGATGAAATGAAACCCTCGTGCAGCTGCTGTCACGAATTACGAGAACGAGTATAAGGTACATACATATGTACATCTGTACATCTGTGCGGTATGTACGTAGTAATAGTAGTTAACACATTCCATTCAGACAGACAATTGTTAGTAATGGTTATACGAGAGTTCTCGCAGTGTTTTGTTTCCTCTAAAACATTTAAACTGCAAACTGCAAACTGCAAACTGCAAACTGCAAACTGCAAATGTAATTGTTTAATTTGTAATTATTAGTGTTGGTATTAATTTTAGTTTAAACTTTAGTTGTAAAACACTTGTACACACACATCAACATTGAATCGTTATTCTGTTTCCTAGCACTAGCAAAAAAAAATAAGAAGAACTTATGTACGAGTAGAGCAATTGGAAATTCGTTATGTCATGACTGATGTGTGAGCTAAAAGTCGTGTGCTGTGTGTTCTGGATCATTTAAATCGGTAAACTCTGGGGCTCAAAGGTTTACAGATTTAAGCGAGTGCCACTTCTGTGTCCATGTCCTTATGATTAGCCTAAGAACGATCCGAATTACAAAAATACTTCACAAATGTCGCACAAAAAGTTGCGCCAAAGTAGAGGTTCACTTAAGCCTTGTTTCAATGTTCAGTAGACACTTAAATTACTCTTTTGTATTTGTCAATGATTATTTATGCTCTTATGCTCCGGGGAAGGGGACGGGGAAGGGGAACGGGAAGGGTTTCCTGTAATGTAATAATTCTGAACGTAGCCTAATTATTTGATCTTAAGTTTAGTGCATTAATATTAGGTTACCGCCTCAGCTCTCTGGCCTGCTCTGGGCAGCTATCACCACTCAAGTCGACTCCTATCCTACTCCCGTCAGTGCTCCCTCCTTAAGCCTAGACAGACACTGGGTTGTGGTTAACGCTTTTGCTGCGTGCATAGAACGATACAATACGTGTGTATCTAGGTATTGCCTTGGCAATCTGAACATCAATGTAACATCAACAACACACAAGAATCGAATGCTCTGAAGTCGAGCGACTCTACGGGGACTGCTTTAGTGGGGGGGAAACTGTAACTGGAGCTTCAACAGACATTCAACCTTATCGATTATTTGTATATGCTTTTCATATATGTATTTGGTATTTGGTAATTGGGTTTTGGGTTCTGGCTTTGCCTTTGAATCTGTGCTTGTTTTTTGCTCTCCTTCGATTGGCATTTTCGAGAGAGTTTTCGTGGAGAGTTTGGACTCGTTTAACTGATTTTGAATTGGATGGGAAACCAGACACACACCAGCGAGCATCTATGTCTGTCCATGTATATTGTATTTGGAGTATGGTCTATCCGTTTAGACATTACGCTCCTCGGTTATGATGTCCATGTTGCTTACGCGTCGCTGCTGGTAGTGCTGGAGCAGATGCTGGTGCTGCGGCGGAGCCGTACCGCCCGCGCCACAGTGTGGGCTGTGGCGATCTGTGGCATGGGCGGTGCGGACGGCGGTGGTGGTGCGATGCTGGTCGCTGCTGCCACGCCGCGGCACCAACATCACTAATTACTAGAGGACCGTCTCGTTGGTGTTGGTGCAGGTGCGGGGGCCATTGACGATCGAGTACTTCGAGGAGCTGTCCTTCTTGGCGATGAGACGGCCGAGGAATATCTCCTTGAAGGTCTCGCGGAACTGGCGCGACATGCCGCAGTAGATGCCAAAGTTGATCGGGTAGCTGACCACCAGGAAGAAGTTGGTCAGCATTATGAAGATGTTGGCGATGCCGTAGTCCAGGAACTCGATGATCAGCGAGCTCACGATGTGCATGGCCGTCACGACAGCGATGGGTATCTCGGCGATGAGGAAGACGGTCACCACCACGATCAGCATCAGGGTGGTGCAGTTGGACTCGCGCAGCTTCTTGCACTCCTTCTTGCGGTTCTCGCGGAACAGCAGCTTCCGGCGCTCTTGGGCCTGCCGCATCGCCGCGAACAGCAGGATGTTCAGCGTCACCAGAATGATGCACGGCAGCAGGTGGACGAACAGCACCCGGAACAGGTAGTAGCTCGTGTAGTACAGATCCATGCCGATGTACTCGTGCACCCACAACGACGTCTCCAGGTGGCACACCTCCGTCTCGTTCCCATTCCACTCGATCTGCAGCGGCAGGAAGGTGCGGTCGAAGAAGCGGGGCAGCTGGTGCAGGAACGCCAGCAGCGCAATGTACACAGTGCAGCGCTTCACGCGCGGCATGGTGCACCATGTCCGTGCCATTGGGGCGTGGCACACGTAAATGTATCTGCGAAAGCGAGACGAGAAAACAGTAGGTTGAATTTGATTGTATTCTGCACTGTCCTGTGACTGTCCTGTGTCTGTCCTTCAGTCGGATTCCATTGAAAAACGTTCCCAAAATGCTTAATCTCTCTCTCTCTCTCTCTTCATTCAAGCATTTGAAAGCACTTTGCGGACTGACCAACCTTCAGCCACTGTACGATGAACTGACTACTCCCTCGAGTGTTTGAGAACCATTGGGAAAGGCCATTAAAAACTCGACACAAATCAGAGGCCAAGCGTCGAGTACTTCGTTTTGATATCTGTGGAATGGAATTGCTGAACAAAGGCAAACAAATATACGAGGACGAGGCCCCAATCGGGCTTAATCCTGCTGGCATTAACTGTCAGGCTGCCAGCCTCCAATCAGCCTTCATCTTTTGGCCATTTCGGAGCATTAAAGCCTTGAAAACGGGCCTGAGAACGAGCCTCTGTGCTGCTAAGCGCATTTTCCTAATATCATTTTATGGCCAGCACAATTTCGACACAGAGGAAGATAAACCAATTTCCCAGGTGCGAATTTACGATCGCAATGTGGTGACAACGAATTTGGCAAATCCTTGACAGCACTCCCGCCCCGCCCGCCTCGCCCGCCTACTCCCCTCAACGGTCTTTAGCTGCGGCCTGCAGAGGGTGGAGAACCATTTGCAATTGGGGAATGAAGCAATCAAAGGCAATCTGAAAAGCTAATCAAGTTGGTGCCTTATAATTTCATAATTTGAGTAATTTGTCAAGGGCCTTCGCCCATCCCTATCCCCATTCCCATTGCCATTGCCATTGCCATTGCCATTGGCATTGGCATCGCATCGCTCAGTGTCAATTTCGCACCCATCTCCGCCAGAGCTAGAGTCGTTCCGTTCCCTGGGGAGGCTTGTCGAAAAGTTTCTTGGCGACTTTTATGCCGCTTTATAGTTCGCCAGAACGGGCCCCCTAGGCCAGAATACTTAGCCCGACGTCTTGCGCCAGCCCAACCACCCAATCAGAATCTCAGAGAAGCGAACGAACTTTGATGCTCTCTGAGATGGTGTGGCTGGGGGCATGGGGATGCTCAAGGTCCTCGGCTTTGGCCTAATTTATGCGCATAATTATGGCCACGCCCATTGCGCCGGCACTTGAAAATGTTTTTCAATCAATCTTTCATTGAACCTTTGTCAAGAGGGGATTTCATTAAAGTTGAAAGCAAAGGCAATGGCAATGGCAATGGCAATGGCAGCGGCAATGGCAGCGGCAATGGGAACCCGAACAAAGGACGAAGGGCGAAACGATTGCCAGGCGTTTAGCCCTAAATGGAATTGATATTAATAAATGAATAACATTGAGCCGGCTTATGTTATTCCCCTTCCCCCAACCACTCTCTCTCTCTCTCTCTCTCTCTCTTCCTTGTTTTCTTTTCACAATTTAGTTAATTTGGCCCAAAGGGCTGACCGTAAAGTACACTCCACTCTGCAGTACCAGTTGCCCATCAATCAAGGCGAACAGGATTTCTCAAGAGAGTCAATGTCCGGCTTCCGGACTGGACAAGTTATGCTAAATGCTAACTGGCGGAATTTCCTTTTGAGACTCGTTGGGTTCTCGACAGCGATTAAATGAGACGTGAAATCAAGTTGGAATTTTGCCTGGAGCAGCTTGAGGATAAAAGTAGGAGCAGAAACTACTCTAGTACACAGATCTACGCACAGACAGACTGATTGAAATGTTGATTGATTTATGCTGTTGGGCCAATCAAACGCATTCCAGCACAACTTTAATTGTATCTCTGTACTTGTGCCCTTGAATGGGCTCAGTCAGAGTGGGAGGTTGCACTCAGAAAGTGTGCCAATGCTGAGAGTTTACGCGCAACAACAGCGCAAATATAAACACAAAAAAAGGGAAAAGGGAAAAGAGAAAAGAGAAAGGAAAGGGGGACAATTGGTGTATAATAAAATGTGTGCAATATGAAATTTTTATGGAAAGCGTCACTCACTCAGTCAGTTCATTCGAGGCTCTTGAAAGCATTATCCAGCCGGGTACCCAGCACCACCACCACCACCACCACTCTCCCATTGTCCTACTACTCTCGCACACACACACACACACACATGTGTATGTACGCCCGACAAAGGCCATAAAAACACTTGAAATACAATAAGTTGACAACAAAAACAGTAATAACAATAAATGTTGAATGTTTTCATCGCGATATTTGTCCTCCGGCAATTTTCAACGCATTTTAGACAGCCAGCGGAGTCCTGTCCAGACTCGATGCTCTGCACCCCACCAGCCCACCAGCCCAACAGCCCACTCCTGCTTTGACATCTACTGGTATATTATTTAGCTTTTTGGTGATGCTGCCGCCCAGGCTGCCGCGCAACCAGCCCATAGTTCCCCCTCTTCACTGGCGACCACTTGAAAGCTGCCCAAAGTCGCATAATGGCGCAAATATTTATGACTATTCTCATGGCAGCTTTCTTCTTTTTTTTTGGCACTTGGGCACAATGGTGGCGGTGGGGTGCCTGGGTCTGCCTGCTGTTGGCAAATTTATTTGCAAGGCTGTAAAATTTATGATCCCACACATGAGTTAATAGAACAATGCGTTGGCCAATTTTCAAGAGCATTTCGGCCAGAAACAGGGGCCGAGCCGTGTGTCACAGTACTCCCGCTCCGTCTATACCCTTGCTGAGGGCATCATTATTGCTGTCAGAATGTCAGAATGTCAGAATGTCAGAATGTAGTTCCTATAAACTAGTAGCGAGCGCATCTCCCATGGCATCTTTCATTTGACACATTACCAAGATTACGTCGTGGACCAGCTAACAGCGTAAACAGCTCTTGATTTATACCTTCTTCGATTTAATCGCCATGTAAACGACTTTGCATTTCAGCTTCACATATGTCTAGGGGTGTAAGGGTATTTACAGCTTCGGTTCTCAAGTGTTGGGCTTTCTGGCTGCCTTTTTTTCTCAGTTGATACTTTCATTGGTGTGGGAGAACGGCTCTTGAAAGGAATATTTTATACACACACACTCTCGCGGCGGGGGTCCTGGAGATGACTTGAAATTTATGTTGCCTATTTGAAATTAGTTTATTGTTTCCTCTTCATTGTTCTTTTTTTTGTGTCCTGCTTTTGAATGGGATCTCTGTCGCTTTCGGTGGCTACATTGTTTCGTTCTATTAAATATTTAGAGGCCCTTGTGCATTAGTTGGCTTATTTATGGCCCCGATGGGTCAACATTAGTAGCGGGCGAATTTGATTTTAAAGACCCTTTCCAAGTGGTCTCCCAATACCATGCAGGGGTAGAGGGAAAAGAGAATTTGCCATCAATCGATTGATTGTCTGTTCTGCGAGATGTCGGGGATGTCGGTGATGTCTGTGATGACTTGGCTGTCAGCTGCCGGCTCAATGTAAGTATAACTCGCATTACTCATACGCAGCGCTGACTGTGAAGGCATCAGCCACAGCCACAGCCACAGACGCAGCAGTAGCAGGCCAAGGTGAAGCCATTTGTTTGCTAGCGCTCTCCCGCGCACCAACACCCCCAACACCCACTCGGCATAATTTGTATGCCCAAGGCGACGAGGCATTGACATTTTATTTTTACCCAGAATTTACCCAGATTTATTGCCACCATTGACAAGTCAACGAGTCAGTCAGGCAGTCAGGCAGTCAGGCAGTCAGTGTGTTAGGCGTTTATTCAGTTACATCTTAACCATGTGCCTGGGAGCTCTGTGTGTGTGTGTGCCCACTTGTATTGGCCTAATTGCATATTTACCTTTGCACGGCCAGGGCCAGAGTTAGCCACACGGAGATGGTGTGGCACATGGCTGGCATAATCTGTAAGCACACAAGAAGAACAAAAAGCAAATTGTTAGTTAGTCAATGTTGAAAGCGACTCGGAATATCGGTATATCGGTATATCGGAATACAATATTCAAAGGCTCTAAAGGGTGAGTACTGCTCGTGCGTCGGTTTGTGTGGTGTTGGTGTTAAGTTGGAGCAGCAGACGCACTTTTATTGGCATACTTTTGGTGAACGAAAAGCACTTGAGAAGCGAAGAGAGCCCAGAAGACAGCCCCACCCTTTAATATGTCAGTATTTGCAGACGAGCAGAAAGGGTCATCAATCATGGGATGTATCCCTTACAGGTACGTATGTACATATATTTGAGCTGCAATTGTGAGGGCACGAATGAATGAATCATTTGTATGGCATACTTTCAGGAGCGGCAGGGAGATGGCCAGGGAGGAAAATATGCATGTAAAACTGGTTCCTATTAAGCGATAATTTTCACATAAAGCCCTCTGATGCCGAAACAGATTTACGACATGTATGCACCGAGTACATAAATGTGGGAACGACCAGGCGAGGGTCCTTAGATTACCTTTGGCTAGGTAGAAAATACCAGCTGAAAAAGCTTCCCTTAGCTCTCGTCAGACTGTGGCCCAAAACCACGAAGGAGCACAAGTCAGATTTTTCCTTTTTGGTTGCATTGGCCGGCCCCTGGAGTCCCCGGGCAGCCACTGCGCAGCCTCCCCAGCTGGACAGGTGTCTGCTCCACTTATGGACCATAATGAGTGTGGCTCTGCGGCAGACAGGTGCTCAGTCAGGTGTTTAGCCACAGCCCCATCTCGGCCTCTGTTTGTGTGTGCGTTTGACATTGAGCTTAGCCATATAATGCACAATCTGTGGCCTAATCCGGTTTATGTGTCTGACTGTACTGCAATTACACGGACACGCACACACATACTTCGGCAGGGACACGCACACGAAGAGATAAACTGCGGACTGCAGAGTGGCTGCCTCTTTGTGTGTGTGCAATGTATTTTTTACAATGAAATGGTTAAGCCTCATCCGACGTCCCTGCCTCGTTACATTAACATGGCCATTATGCGCGCCACTCAAAGGGAGATGAGCAAAGAGAGAGAGAGAGAGAGACAGAGGAAGACGCACGGAGAGAGATAGCTGGCTGGAACATATAAATTCCCGAAGAAATGAAATGAAATCTTCAACTCTCAGTCTGCAATGGCCGCCTGGCGGTTATTACCGAACGAGGAGTGGAGCTCCACTGGATGTGGATGTGGATGTGGATGTGAGTTGAATTTTATGGCAGTCATACGCAGAGATAGTCCTAGTCGCAATACCAAAAGGACTTTGCTCTACCCGTTTATGTTCCCCATCCCCTGCCAGCAGCTACCACCATCATCCATGCCACAACCCATCCACATCCACATCCACATCCACATCCACCCATCCATCTAGAGCATTCGGCGTGGGGAAGAGGCACAGCATGGAATTTAGTTGCTACAAATCCCCTGAGAGTCCGCCAACAGCACGTAGCAACTACAGCAACAAACACACACTGGGCACAGTGGTTCGAGATCGATGCATAAATAGTTGAAAACTAAGAGAGAGAGATTGCAGAACTGGCAGTAGCAGATCCCTGGGAAGATCATCTAACATCTGAATACTGGCAACACTGCCAACAGCCTTTCGTGGCACTTTGCCCCACTATGCGGCAGAGTGCGGCCAGAAGTAAGGGCATTTTATCAGCTTGACACTACTCCATTGAAGTGAGTAAACAGTTTTGCTTTTCTCCTACTCCAGGCATCCCCTTGGCGTACCCCCCTCAGCGAGTGCCATAAATTGAAAATGTTGATTAATCAAGGAAAAACGTGCTAGGGGCAGAAGTCTGCATGGTAATGGTGCAAAAAAGCTCACGAATGAATAAGTGTTGTGAATGGCTGAATGAGTGAGCAAAAGGATGGGCAGAGTATTCTACGACATCCATAGATGGCAATGGTAAGTGGGGAGCCGAGCGGGGATAGATGGAATTTTTTGGATAAGGGGCCAGCAGGTGGCAAACAGCAAACGGCAAACGGCAAGTGGCAAGTGGCAAGTGGCACTAGCAGCGTTTTTCATTCTTTCATTAAGCTGACTGAAATGAGCAGAGTGGGAGAGGGAGGAGAGCAGGAGAATGCTGCGAAAGTAACGTGGCATCAAATGTGATAACGATAACGATAACGGGAATGGGAATGGTAACAGAAATGGGAGGGAAGAATGAAGGGGGAACTACACAGCACAAAACATTGCCTCATACATCAGCCAGAGACAAAGGACCCAAAGAGACAGAGAACGAGACGAAGGGCTGCGCTGGAGGACTGGAAGACTAAGGTGGGAGGAGTTTCAGCCAAGCATTTTATTTAGGTCAATGAGCGTCGCCTCCAGGAGAGCTGGAGTGGAGAGTGGATTGGAGAGTGAAGTGGAATAGAGTGGGAAGAAACGTGGCCAGAAGCCAAAACAAACAGTTTCCGCTCTTTCCACTGTGACCAGCCTGGGCAATTAGTTTCTGGGCAGAGGGAGCACAGCAACAGACAGAGATGAAGACAGTGACCAAGAGTGTGGCTCAGAGTGTGAGTGTGAGTGCGAGTGGGAGAATGAGAATGAGAATGAGATGGAAACTGTGAAAGAGAGATGGCTGCTACTTTGTTTACTCACCTCGTTGAAAATGCTGTAGGCCAGACACATGGAGACCGGATGCAGAGGCTTATAATGATTGCCAAATGTGTACATATACCAGAGTCCTGGTGCGGGGAATATAACCGTCAGCATATCGCATATAGCCATGCCTAAGCCGGGGTGAGAAATTGCAATTCGAATTAGAAATTGGAAATTGTAAATTGGAAATTATGGTAATGGTTATGCAAATCATTTTGAGATTCTCAAATGCAAATTGATTCTGCGATGTTCTGTTGATGTTGATGTTGACTTTGTCTGCTCAGGGTAATCCCGACTCGGGACCCCTAATCGATTCGTTGCCCATGATAGGTTAATCAATTATTTATTATGTTCTGTACTGTAGCTACACAACGTAAGCACACAAAACGGCTGTGCCTATTTGAATAACCCAATCGAATTATTAATGGGCGTCATTTATTGTTTGCGAATATCATTAATATTTTACACCTTGAAATTCTGCTCAGAGCAGATTTCTAATTCAATTTGCACCAATAATAATCCTGCTGGGTTCATGGAACTCGCACCCATTAAAGCTGCTTTCTGTTTGCAGATGCTCAAAATCAAATTAGACACAAACTAGCGACCGAAGTGGTTCGGTTTGGATCCCTAATCAGAACCCAGCAGTTTCTGCTGCTCCGCCTCAACTGCCAGCTCTGCTTTGGCCATGATGCTGGCCCAGTGACATTTGAACCAGAGTATTAAACTGACTTCACACCGATGACCTGACCTTTGTGCACTCACTGGACGGGACGGGACGGGACGAAAAGGCGAGCGGACAAAGTGTTTCGTGTCCTCAGTGTCTGTGTTCATTTGTGTGTTTTATGTTGTGGCTACAACCAGCCACTGGTGTGCACAGAACATAGGACATAGGCATGGGTCATGGGTTTTTTCATGGAACGATCTACGCTCCAGCAAGAAAATATTTGTATATCTCTCTCCATCAGCTTTCGTACCATGCAAATGTGTAGATCTGGCAGAGTGTTTAAAGCTTCGAGGCTATGCTTTGCTTGCTCGTTGGGTTTGTTGCTGAACGCAGAGTTCGTTCCATGTTTGGACTGCTGTCAAACGAACCGAATGCGATTAGCCTTGGCCCGCTCTTGACGCGAGTCGGGAGTGGCCAGCCGGGGGTGACAGGGAGAAGCAGGATGCTGGCGTTGGTGTCAAACGTTAAACGTGCTTAACCCATTGCTGGCGCACGAATAATTTAAAATGTAAACTCTGCCAGCCCCCTGATGCTCTGCTGGCTCGAATCGGATCGAATGTTTCGATGGGATTTACTCGAAGTACTCGTGTAAGCCACTTACAGTCACTCACTCGCAGGCCTCCACTCCACTCCACTTCACTTCACTTCACTTCACTCTATCCCGCCTCAGTTCTCAGTTCTCAGTTCTTAGTTCTCAGTCTCAGCAGCGACTTTTCATAAATCAGTGGCAAATACCACACACAGAGCACAGCGCAGCACCCCAAGTCAGGGCGACAGCCAGCTATTAGCATTACACACGCTATTAGAATATCTCAGCATTACGCGATGGGGGATTGGGGCACGCACACTGCCAGCTATTTTGAAATCTCACAAAACTTCTGCCTGATTTAACATTGTGGCACATTAAGCGCCAAGAGCCACACGGGGTGTGGGCACAAAATGACATGGCATACAAATAAATAATAATCATAAAAGCGTGAGCAAAAGCGAGAGCGGAGGCGGAGGCCAAGTGCCAACCACAGTATTGGCCTTGACTGCCCCAAGCCAAAGGTGCACTGCACACGAGGAACATGCTGCAAGTTGCACGACAGTTTTCTTCTCAATTCAATTTCGATTGCATTTCGAGTTGTTCGACATTTGTACTGCAACCTTCAAGGTCTTTCGGTTCCCCGATGGGTCCCCAATGCTTCTCCCCCCACTTACCCATCAGCACAAAGTTTGTCGGCGTAGCCATGCTCTTCTTGCTGAGAACGAGGACGATCAGGGTGTTCGATATGATGGTGATTATCAGCAGGAAGGGCATACAGTAGCCGTACAGCGGCAGGGCGTAGTCCAGGGGCGAGTCACAGGTGAGGTTCCAGTAGCTCACATTGGCGTCCAGCTGCCGGCACTGCCCGTCCTCGCCCATCTGCTGCTGGTAGGAGGCATAGTCCAGGCTGTCGTTCATGCTGCTCATCCCGTAGTCGAGCAGTCCGAACTGCGTCTCATTGGGAGCGAGGCGTTGCCCGATGCCGATTCCGATGGCCATGCCGACTGCGGGATGCATCGACCCGTGATTCGTCGCTGGGGGCAGGGTCGCCACTGAGGGCGGCACGGTATGGGCGATACGTGCAGCACCGCCGTTGGCGGCTGCCGCCGCATTGGCACTCCACTGATAGAGCACGTCCGCGGCGGATGTATCGTAGGAGTAGGCAGAGTTATTTTCCATGCTGGACCCCAGAACGGCCACAGCGGCGGCGGCGGCGACGGCGATGGTTCTCGTGACTGAGGTTGACATTTCCTGCAATTCAATTAGCACCCCTTGATCGCCATGCCTGCCCAGTCGGGCATGACTCTGATGGAGAGACGATGATGGCGAGTTCTAATGGCTCTGCTATTGACTCTTCCTGGTATCCAAATCTGTCCGGAGTTGCCCAACAGTCCACTGCCGACTCGTCGTTATCCTTGCCTTGCCTGCAAGAGAAATCAATTTTTAGTTTTGCCCACAAATAAAAGTTCATCGGATAAAGTTTCCATTGACTTGTTTGCTTCGAGTTTTGCGAGCCGAAGGGTTACAGCTACACTTTTCTGCCTAATGGTCAAACTTTGGCATTATGAAAATATGCCATAAAAGCACAAAACCGTTTTCCACTTGGGAAATGGAGAGCTACAGAGAACAAACAGACTCAGTGCCCGTGCCCAACTGCAATTTGTTTGATTGATTTCGATTTGCTAAAATGTTTCCGGCATTCCGAGTTCGAGTCCAAACAAGCCACAAAACAAAGACGAGTGATTTGAATTATTCTGATGGCTTTTCCTCTTCGATTGTTTTATGGTTTTTTGCATTTGCATTGGGCATCTTGTTCACATTCAAAACTATGCATCAGAACCCTCTCAAATAGTTGTTCAGAGACTGCCCCAATCATCATCAAATATGAGTTCACGAGCTAATCTTTAAATAATGGGCTAATGATTGTGTTTACAACATTTAAATCCATGTTGCTAGTATTGTGCGTATGCGGACATATAATTGTGTTATTTTAGTAGCCGATTTAAATGTTATCTGGGAACCAGCCATCATCATCATCCTTTTGGGCAACGAGAGCGCAACTTTGACCGTAAACATTATGTCAGACAGGGCCCTGGGCCCTTTCGGCCATGATCTCAGAACCAAACTAATAACAGAGCATTTCGCATGTTTATGTCATGTTTATGTTGCCTTTTTAATGGTTTTATTTTTCGCATTCGCATTCGCATTCGCACTCGCAGACCGACGACTGACACACATCTTGGAAGTAATCGGGCAACTTTTTAGATCTCTCTTTTCTATTTTCATTTCTTGGTGGATTTTTCCTTCTCTTTTTTTGTATTTTCTGGGTCACATTGACCCACATAGAGGAGCACAAATATAGGATGGGGGATGGTATGGGTACGGGTTTGGGTCGTGGTTCGTGGTTCGTGGTAGGAAATAAAATTGAATACGGCAGAGACCGAAAAGCTCATTCATTGGCATATTTCATGGTGGCAGGCAGCATGTTCGACATCCCTTATGCGATTAAAGTTTGGGCCTCAGTAGAGACAAGAGGGCGCTGAAGAGGGCACGGGAGGGGAGCTCCCTTATCAAAATATATGTAATTGTGTTACTGAGTGAAGAATCAAAAGGAAATTCGGAATATTGGGGAGGCACTCCGAGTCACTGAAATGTGAACTAATCACTTTAAATATATTTAGACTTCCACTTGTAATACCCAATTGGCAGTACTTTACGAGGAGGATTGCTCCGAGATTCGCGGCGCAAGGAATAAACTAGCAAATTAGTCTAGCAACCAATCCAATCCGCCGCCGACTTGATTGCCCTTTTACCCATTAAAACAAGTAATGGAATGGCAAGAAAACAGTGCAAAACGCAAATGCAAAGTGCAGGCAAGAGGGCAGAGTGTGGAGTATAGACTGGAACGGAACAAGGAACGAGTCTGGGTCGCAATTAGCATTGAGGGAATGGTGCTCCAAGGAGGGAATTTCAGTTCAATTTAGCCCGTCAATGTCTGTCTCTCGTCTTGTTCGACCTCGTTTAAACATTCAGTGAATTTGGGCATTGTCTGAGTGCGTGCTCCACTGCATTGGAGGGCTGTGAATATTTAAGGGATTCAATCGGTGGTGCATTGCAGCAGTTGGGTGGTTGTGTTCCGCGGAGCAGCCATACATCTGAGACACATAATCCATGGAGTGCAACGACATCGCTGAACTAATCTTCAACTTTGATTGAAGGTGGCAAGTTGCAAGCAGATGGCAGCCTTAAAGAAATTCCAGATTGACGAAGGGCGCTCCGGCCCTTGATTAAGTCAGGAGGCATATCGATTGCCTCGGCCCGCACTAATTATGTTGGCTTTAGCTCTTTGCTCTTGACACGCTCTGATCTATTTTGTATCTGCCCCGCCACCCCGTCCCATCAGCTGCCATCTTTGATCCATTACCACGTGCAGGCAAGACGATGATGGAAAACTTTAACTAGGACAAGCAGATGGGAATCTTACTTGCAAAAAACTGCTCCCCACAGCAGTACCAGCAGTACAGCAGCCACACCAGACACACACAAACACACGCACACACACCGTCTCTGGCACACTCCTGCACGCGCTCGCACTTTTGCATGGGCGAGTCATCATCATAAAGCGATTAGGGAAACTAAAACTGTCATTAAAATGACTCGGCCTCCGCCTGCGCCTCGCTCCTTCCCCTTAGCCGCTTTCATTAGTGGGTCTTCATGTTGGTCCCGCCCCAAGGACATCTTTGCCCAAATGAATTTCCAATTCATGCCCGCATACGAGTAGTTTCCACATGCCGCCCCTACGTGCCTGCACCGGTCACGAAGGTCACGAAAAACGCCCCACATTGAACAGCAATGAAGCATTACCACCTCCCCTGAGGTACACAAGTACACACATATTCATACATCTATTAAACAACAAGGCCTGCCCTAGGATTTTGTTTGTGTTTTATCCATCTATATGGACATTCCATCCATGGTATCCATCCAACAGGTACCCAAGACAAATTGTACATGCATCATGCATCTCGAAGCCGAAGTCTTAAAACAATTGCCACACAACTTTCTTTCATTTGGGTTGTTTATTGACTAACTTGGTGCAGACACCGGTGCAAAACCGAGATTAGGGAAGCTGCAAGGTCAGGTTTGAGCTTCGCTTTGACTCTGCGTCAATTCTGATTCTATTTTCGCACATCTCTCTGCAGACATGACATGACACGCCGACACGTTTGTCGGTTGGTGCGCTTGTTTTCATTGCAGGCGAAAACAAACATTCATCCAGGCATTCACGAACAACAGCGCGAAAAGTCGATCAAATAGAACGATGTCCTCGAGGGTGGCTGCCACTTAATTGTGCTTTTTACCAGAGCCAGCTTAAAAAACAAAAAACGTTTCAAAATGTTCAAGAAAATGTAAAGGCCTTTCCTCAACCACACAACCACACAACCACACGGAGCTCAACTAGGGGCTTGTGCTGCATGCCCCAGGGTTAGATGACGGAGAAAGTAAGGAAAGAATTCGCATAGCCTTCGAAGATCGAGTGGCTTACGAGTCTTCCTTGTGGCAGCCTCCCAAAATCATAATTCCCCTTCGCAGGGTGGCGGCTATGTGTGTGCCTTCGAATGGCTTGAGAAAACTTCCATTTTGGTGACTCTCCACTCTCTTTCCCCGCCTGTAAACTCTAGCAAATATTTGCTCTCTCAAGCAGGACCATTTAAATTTAATGCCTTCCGTTTGTTTTTCTTGGCAGCTACTTTGGCTGCTTTTTGCTGGCTTTTCGTCGCTCTTCTTGGGGTGCAATGAATACATTTCACAGCCAGCGGCCACAGCAGGCATGCATACTCGTACTTCTTATCCCACATATACATATAGCGGCTTCGCGGACGCAGGACAGTGCCTGTGACTTGGCCCAGGCACATAATTAATTCCCCAAAATAATAAATGAAAATGAAGAAAATGTAGGCGGCTCGCTGCTCGCTGGGGGAAATCTAATGCGGCTGATTTTCATTCCACACCCCGCCAAGATGGTTGAGATTGTGGTTGACTGGATAAACTCTATCTCCAGCTCCACTTCAGCCTCCCACTACTGTAGGCCAAGAGACATGTATGTGTGTGTGTGTGTAGCAGTTGCATTTATGTCACTTCCTCGCAATTAAGGGAGGGGAGGGAGCGCTCGTTCAGATGTTGTGGCAACACGCTGCTTGACAAATCTTCCGCCAACTTGTAGACTTAATCGCTTGTAATCGCTTAAGGGTTGCACACCCCCCCACCCTACAGCGAAATGCGCTACGAGACTGCGACAGTTCATGCTCGGCGGCAGGGGGAAACTTCCCCAGACATGTGGAATTAGTTGTACCCACACATCCATGGCACTCCATGGCAGCTGCCCTCGCAGAGTGCCCCAATAAGTGGAGCAGCGCTTAAAGCGTTTAGAGTTTTGCTTTCGTGTAATCGCCAAAGCGAAACTTTTTCGATTTGGGAATTAAAATAAAAAGGCATCAACAACAATGTCTAACTGCCCTCTGGCTAAGAGATGCCTCCCACTCCCACTCCCACTTCGACTAGGGCCTCAGCCCGGGGCAATCCTAGAGCCAAAAACTTTTGGTGGCCACTCTGCACGCATCGCTGGAGCTAAAGCTAAAGCTAAAGCTAAAGCTAAAGCTATAGCTAAAGCGGGGAGCTCCATTCTTTTCGGCTTTAATGGTCGATGCCAGAGCGTAACCACCCACGGCAAACATTCCACAACCCACATCCCACATCCCACTCTCTCTGAGGCTGGGAGCCGCGTGAAAGCCGCCTAGATAAGTGATAAGCCGCCACACACAAATTGGCCCCACTCTCGCAGAAAGAACTCGGCTAGATGTAGCTGGCTAGGGTGTGATGGGAAGTAGTGGTGGTGGGGGTGGGGTTCAGGTTGGCCACCTGAACGAGCAGAGTGCTGCGTGTCTGGGGCATATAAAAAGGATTAGATGTCTGCCTCGACCTGACAGTCCTTTGGCAAATGAATCCCAATCGAAAATTTATACAACTCCTAAGGTGGCAGAGCAGCTCTACTCGTATCAGACAGTCGCCGCTTTACGACCAAATTTCACTTTTACATTTCCACTTCCATTCCCATTTCAGCAAAAGCTGTTTGGCCAACAGCACAGCGCACACTGGACTCGAACAAATTGGCAAAAGAAAAGTGATTTGAAGTGTTTTGTCCAAGAATTGAGCCAACCGAATTAGGAGTTCCACTCTCGATCGATCGTACGTTTGCCACTTGTGCGAATATCAATGCAATATCAAATCAATCAATCAGCCATCGTATAACAATTAAGTTGTATGTTTCCTGCCACACTATTGTCTGAAATGAATCATGCACGGTGGATTTCGCGGCTTGGATTTCCTGAACGTGAATGGCTCTACGATATATTTAAACA